ACTACAACTACCACTACCACTACCACGACCACGACCACGACCACGACCACGACCACTACTACTGCTGCTGCTGCTGCTGCTGCGACTGGTACTACTACTAAGTTACTACTACTACTACTACTACTACTACTACTACTCTTGCTGCTGCTACTACTACTGCTACTACTACTGCTGCTACTACTACTACTACTACCACCAAGCAGTGCACGATTCAAAGCTACCTGTTCCAAGGATATGTAACGAAATCAGCACCGTGAAATTTGATGCACTTCTGAGATAAGAACTGGGATCTTGAAGCGGACCAGCTTCTACCAAACTTGCACCCACAAGAAGGCCTTGTGGCTCGGCTTCTGCGCTGGCTGCGAAAGGCAGCACCTGCAAGAAGACCTCCGAGGAGTAGAGACCTCCGCAAACGAAGCGACTGAAAGCCAATCCAAGCCAATGTGCAGACCTGCTTACATTTGCGGTCCCTTCAGTCAAACTGCACGATGACCATACTCAATCTGTATGTCGTGGTGTGCACAACACAGCATCCCTGCCCATGATCACACTTCTCTTCTTTTTGGCCGCTGTACAGGTTTAGGCCCGAGTTCAGCCGCTGTAAGGCTACCAGCAGCGCGCAGAAAGGTGCGCATCCGCCACTTCCACCGAGTACTCGCAGCTACAGACGTGACCGCTCACGCCGCGGCGTCCAGGACGAGGACATGCCTGCCTGGCTCAACATGCTGCTCCAGCTGCCTCCCCTCAAGTGAATTCACTCACTTCTCTGCAAAAACTGTTGCTTCTGCACGCGTTCATTTCGCAGCCCCAAACCAGAATGCGGAATGTTTGCTTTACCACGACGGGCAGGCTTTGCCCTGTATACGACGCCTCCCACTAATTTCAATCAATTTAAAGGTTTCAACCCCACCAATGATGCCTCGGTTGCTTTTTGCTGGCGCTGCAAAGCTGTCATGAGCTCCTGGCAGCAACAAAGACTTCCGGGGGAGTCTGCAACTTCTAGTCGCCGCAGTCTAAGTCTAGACATTTGCAGAACGCAAGACTGCAAGACCATACATTCCCTCTCACCTCGTGTGCTGATCTTGCTGTCTCTAGCGCCTGCACGCCATCTGCATCCAGCACATCCGGAAATGCGACCTTGGTTTCGACGGGAGTCAGCTACAGTAGATATCCCGAAAGTGCCAAATAATGCTTGTACTCATCCACTTCCCTACGACTGCAAAATCCAGGAGCGCAATTTGTGCGCTGCCTCCTGGACCATCTACACTGCGAAGGGAAATGTAAACCAACTCAGGATTGAAGATTGCAATGCAGCAGCTCCACAGGCCTCAAACTTCACGCACAGGTCGCCCCGCTGTGAAGATCCCATCTGTCAGGCACATGGAAAGGAAGGTTTGGTTTGAGGATAGTGGATGTGAGCAAGACGATGTGGTCGGGGTTTGAAAACAGCAAAACGCAGTTTCGAAACATAAGACACTGGTCCCTGCAGCCATGAACTCAACACAGCCCAGGCCCTGGAGGCCTGAGCAAGCCACCACAAGCCACCAATAAGCTCTACCCATAGGCTAGCTATCAATGGTATCTGCATTCAGCCTTCAATCTATGCAGGCACCGATCACAAGTTATTCTTTGCTGGCGTACACTCCCTTCTGCTTTTTTCCTCCTCGTCCTCTCTTTCTTTACCTGGTCCGGCTCCATGCGAAACCGCGTCCTCGACCCACTCCAAGAAAAGTTCAGAGCACTTGAACCTCCTTTCGTGACGGCTTCTGCTTCTGGACTATCTGACAGCTAGGCAGACAGGGTGCAACCGTGGAGGTCCTGCCTTGGGCATGCCTTCTCCGCGGATGTACTGGACGGATCCTGGCTTTATCACCTGCACGAGCATGCCTCCGATCTAGAACCGCGAGACCACTGAACCTAGGTCGTTTGCTGCATGCGGCTGTCTAGTTGCAGCTTTGAAGTCCACACACCCTGGGTCTTGGCTATCCCGTGAGAGTATCTTTCCATACAAACCTGACTTTCGTGACCCATGACCCCCACCTGCCTTGGAAGGTGTTCCGTGAACCCGCAGCTCACGGCCATCCAAATGTAGCAGCCTCTGTGCAAAGGGGCGGCAAGCCACTCCGTTTGATGGGTTTGATGCAGTCGGGCTGGTGGTCTAAGGGCTTGCAGACTTGTCAAGGCCTCGCAGCTCCGCCGGTCAGGGCATCAGCCAAAGAAATCTGCAAAACCTCAGCGCGAATTGTTCAGCTGGACAGCGCTAAACAGAATCCAAGGAACAACAAGGCCGCCGCAACGTGTAGGTCGTCTCCACGGCGTACGAAGTGTGGGTGCGGCTGCACCTCAGCCAGACACCCCAAAGCGCTCAGGGAGCCCGCTTGAGGGCCCGTGCCTCGTGCGACGAGCTCTTGAGAGGCTTTCGGGAGTCTCTCGTGGCCCTGGCTTCGCCTGCCATCAGCTTTGTGGCAGGGAACGACGGATCTTAGCCCAAGAGATGTGGAGTTCCGCTTCAGCTGTAAGCAAAGCCCCTGCCCGAATCTCAGCAGCACGCCCATCGTCCATCCCAGGTTCAACCTGCACCCGAAGGACCTGTCCATGCGTGCCGCCTCAAGCACATCCATGAGTCCCGAGCTTCAAGGCCGCACAGTCCGCGCAGTCAGCCGCACCTCGTGCTCCTCGGGAGGGGAGCTCTCATCTACGTTCGGCACGGATCAAAGAGCACTGACAGCAGAGACTTGCAAGGTCTCCTCGCGTTGCCCGCAGCCGTGGCAGAGCTTGCACCTGCCTCTGGACAGCCAGCCTCGCCCCTGGCAGTCTTGGCAGGCCATCTGCACCTCCACAAGAAGCTGGATCAAGAACAAATGCATCGTTCTCACCAACATCGAGCATGAACCGTAACTGACAAGTAGCAGTGGCAACTGATCAAGCAGTGTCAATGGCATTCTATAGTCTTCTTCAAGCCTCTCGAGCTGCGACTGACTCTGCCACATTAGCTGTCGAAGGCTTCTAGATGCGCTTGGCCGGCACTGTCCAACCTCCTGTAAACTAGTACCCTTGACAGTTGCATCAGACTGACGCAATTCTGACACACATATATATATATATATATATGTATACACACACTTTTGAACTTGAATGAAGTTGCTTCGCTTGCAGCGCTATGCAGCGAGTCCTGCCTGAAGAAATCCTGGCCCACCCAAGCGGCGGATCCGAACTCCGGAGCCCTGGACCGAGGCGATGCATCATGTTGTAGAGACTCCAGCCAGCACCGTGGGAACTCTCAGGTGCACCCAGTGAGAAACGATTCCTCCCCACCTCGCATGTGCGACAAGCAGGCCCGGGACTTTCGCCGGCTACACAGGAGTCGCACGGAGATGTCCTGCACAAATCCACACAAACGGAAAGCAGGCGGGCTAAAGCTCAGGCTTTCCGATGCGCCTCTTGATGCCGACCTTCTTGATCGACCCCATGAACACATCTTGCAGCGTCACAGGAATGCTAGCCTTCCGACAGGGTCACATGGCCTCATTGCCTCAAAGACCATTCTCGTTCACAGCAGTGGGGCCCTGCCTTCACGGGCATCGCAGAATGGCGGGCACCAAATAAGCTGTCGAAACCCTCTCTGTCTGCAAAGAAGCTTCTGAAGAGGTCGAAGACTGCTTGGTCTGTGCCGGTGCCTTGGCGCCACATCGACAGGCACAAAGTAAGCTGAAAGTAGCAGGTGAGGTTTTGCAGGGGAGCAGACGTGCTCGGGGCTGAATCTGCTGAGCCTGCTCGTAGCCCTGCATACAAGTCTCGGAGCAAAAGGATTCTTGCTCCTACTGCTGGGTAGGAGTTCCTTGCCTCATCACCCAGTTGGTCATACTGTGCTCGGCGGTCCTGAGGGACATGGGGATGGCCCACTGTTAATCTTCTGCTACACAAACTCATGGAAAACTCGCTTTTCACTATTCTCTCAGCAAATTACAGGTGACGCAAATCGAATTTCTACCTGAGCCAAGTTCTCTTCGGTTCGCAGAACAGTCAATGTCTGCGAGACCTCTCTTGGAAACGCAGAAGAGCCCTAGTCGACGCACAGTGCATGGCTCTCACGGCGGCTCCTGATCGCTCAGAACTTCGTAAGCCGAGCTCAAGTCCTGCAAGACACATTGTAAAGGACATGACGACACATGCACCTTGCCGACAGAGCTTGCCATCATGCCGGAAGGGAAGCTTCTTCAGCCTGGGCATGTCATCTGATCAGCCTTCATTTTAGCGCTGCTGCTTTCAGGCGAACTGCAGAACTCTTGTCAGTCAAACGGCTCCAAAGCCGTCCTGTCGTGCATAACTGAACGCCATGAGGATCGGCCAACAGTCCGCATACACCCTGCAGCCACGAAGGCATCCAGACACGAATGGAAGCCTCTCAGTGAATCGAGGCTTGCAGGAACGTCTCTCTGGCATGCTAGTTGGACCCAGCAGCCTCGCAATACAGCAGCTGGGCTCTAGGGCATGCGACAGGCTCTCTCGCAAGATAACGAGAAAGGAACGGAGCATCAAGCCACACTGTTCTACACCCCAGCCCCAAACTTCTTGCAGAAGGGCATCACCCTCACGCGGGAACAATCTCCGCAGTCTGTCTCCCTGCGAGTCCGGTACCACATCCCGGCAAAAGCAACTCTCCTTGTTCTCACTGACATCAACATGCGTCGACAATTTCTATCAACCATGACCACACACCATGGTGATCGGTCAACCAGAGCATGATTTTCACCAGCATAGATCCTGCGCCACAAAGGCATCCAGACACGAATGGAAGCCTCTCAGTGAATCGAGGCTTGCAGGGACGTCTCTCTGGCATGCTAGTTGGACCCAACAGCCTCGCAATACAGCAGCTGGGCTCTAGGGCATGCGACAGGCGCTCTCGCAAGATAACGAGAAAGGAACGGAGCATCAAGCCACACTGTTCTACACCCCAGCCCCAAACTTCTTGCAGAAGGGCATCACCCTCACGCGGGAACAATCTCCACAGTCTGTCTCCCTGCGTAAGCAACTGCTAGTCTGGCTCCTGGAAGGCCTTGGCATCGCCGCCCCGGTCCGGGTGATGCTTGAGCGCCAGCCGCCTAGAAACGATGTGAAGCATCAGCAGCTCTTCTTGCACACATGGAGGATGTCAGGGGCTGACTTGTACGCGCGCTTGATGTCTTCCGGCGAAGCATTTGGAGGCACCCCCAAGCGGTTGTAGAGCCGTCGCTCGGCGGGCATCCTCTGACACACCATGCCAAAGCACTCAAGCAGTTCTTAGGTCCCACAGAAGTCCGAAGCCTACGCACACCTGTCGGCGCGAAGCTTCATGGCGGGATTCGAGAATCACTTCAAGGGTCTCACCATGTCGCATCTTTGTCTTGCTGCTGATGTGGGCTTTGGACATTTGAGGCTGTTCTGGCATCAGAGGCAGTTGCAGCTATATGCACAACTCGAGGACCCCGTCACAAGCAGCTGCAGCCGGGTGCCATGCACTTGGCCAAAGGATTCGTTCCGCTCCCGTGTTCCGGCACCTGCTTGCAAGTCTAAGATTCCGCCGATGGGCCTTTGAGGGAAGCTTTGAATCAAGGCTCACAGTGACTGGAAAGCTAGGAGTCGATGAGCTCAGCATGAACTCTTCACAGGGACCTAATCGTCTTGAGTGGAACCAAGCTCTGCATCACACAAGTAGTGCTGCCTGGTTCTGCTTAAGTCTCGAACATGTAGCCAAAACAGGGCCACGTCATGCTGATTCAAAACGACTGGCGCTTCGAGGATTCCTTATACCGTGCACATGCAGCATCTGCTGTAAATTTTGAACTTATGCGAGATCGAGGAAGGCAATGAAAACAAGAGTTA